CCCAAAATCTCTGTAGATGTTCATTGAAATGAAAAATAAACAACCTAAATTTAAAAAAAAAAAGAGTAATAGTTTTCTGGACTCACATGTCCACCTCACCTCTGCCTCACCATGTACCCTTCCTGTCCTCTCCATGTTGTGAGGGCCCTGGAATGGCCAGACACCTGGGCTCTTGTCCCCTTGAGTGGCCTAGACTCCCCAGTAAGACTGTTTAGCAGCTGTTTGTGCATTGTACCAGGGAGCTTAAGCATATAGCTTATACCCGGGAAAGCCCTCAGCTTCTAACTCGTTCATCAATTCAGAAAAGTAAGTTCTTGAGCACTGGGCTCCCAGTACAGGTGAGGGGGTGTGATAAGGAACAAATCATCTGCTTTCATTATGTTCCCTGAAGGAGAAGAGTAAGCATAGAAAGGTAATTTCAAGTGAAGTATTAGAGGAAATGGGAAATGGGCTGATCATTTAATGACTGAAGTTGTGCAGTGTAGTTTTGTTCCTCTGCGAGCTTTTGACACAAAGTAAGGGTATCACCACGTTAAAGAGCATCACCGGAGACAGCCCTGAGGCTGGAACTCGCTGCAGGGTCTAGGGGCAGTGGGAAGTGCAGAGTACCTGGATTGCAGCATGTAAGGGGGAGAAGCAGGCAGGACCCTCCCACCTCCAGAGTAACAAATGAAGAATGAATGAGGCCTTTGGAGAGCCCCTCGCCCTAGCGGGATACGAGCCCTTGCAGCACGGCCGGCGGGCGGGGTCCGTGTCCGGCCCACCATGGAGGCGGGGCCAGGAGTCCGGGGCGGGGCGGTACCTGGGGCCCCGGCCGGGGGCGGGGCCGCGGCCGCTTCCCCCTTCCCGGGGCTCCAGCCAGCGCAGGCAACGGCGGCGGCAGAAGGCGAGCCGCGGGCCGTGAGGCCATGAAGGTGAAGAAGGGCGGCGGCGGGGCCGGGACGGGGGCGGAGCCCGCCCTAGGGGCCTCGGGCCCGAGCACTGAGCCCAAGTTGCAGGGAGAATCCGAATCTGGATCCGAGTCAGAGCCAGAGGCTGGACCGGGGCCCAGACCAGGGCCGATGCAGAGCAGGCAGCCCATCGGGCCGGAGGACGTGCTGGGGCTCCAGCGGATCACAGGCGGTGAGCATCTGCGAGGAGCTGGGCGGGAGGAGAGAGAGGAGGGGGCCCCCTACGGCACGCGGAGCTCGGCCCCCGCCCCCCTGCCCAACCTCCCCCCCACCTCGCGGTCCTCCCCTTGGTCCCCTCCTCTTCGTTTACTCTTCTCCCTCATGCTTCCCAGCCCGAGACCTCCATGTTCCCCTTCCCTTGATCTCTCAGTGCACCCTCCCCTCTCTTTAGAGATGGATTATTTGGCATAGATCATACCCCTCTCGCGTGGTGAAGGTAGGGCGGCAGCTGCTACTGTCCTCGTTCCCCCACCGAACCCTTCGAATCCCTAGGGGCCTGTCTGCATTGATGAGGAAGAGGGTGAGAGCAGTCTGTCTTCAGCCCCTCCTGCCCCTAAAGACAAGGAGGTGGAGACAGAGCTGCTTAGGTGGTCTCAAGATCATAGAGATCTTTCTGACCATTAATGCTGGGACCCAGGGAGCTCCCCCAGCAAACTGGGGTCATCCTTCTCTAGAAACTGTGAAGAAAGCGGGGATTTTTTTGGTGAGAAACTGTGCAGGAAGCTTTAATGGATTGACTCTAGGTCCTCCCTGGAGGTGGGGTAATACTCCAAACCCAGCCCAGGCTCTGTCCACTTTCTGCCACAGGACTCTTAGCAATTGAGGCCTGGTTGCCACTGTCCTTAAGTTTCTGAGATGAACTGGCAGGGTCCAAGCCTTTGTCATGCAGTTGGCTGTGTGACCTTGGCCACGTAAACTCTCTGAGCATGTTTCTTTATCTGTAAAATGGGGGTAAGAACACATCCCTCACAAGATTAATGTGCAGGTGAAATGAGTCTTCTGATTTTCTACAGTGCCCAATAAGTAGTACTGAAGGCACCACAGGCTGCCCATGGCTGAGGAGAGACAACTGGTCCTTTAGGCAATCAGGGGTCAACACAGGCAAGGGAAAAGGGCCAGGGAACTTCAGGGCAGAGGAGATGACTAGCCTAGAAGGGGCATTTGGGAGACAGTGGCTCTCTGCCATGGCTCCATTCATCACAGACCTGCTCCGTCCCTTTTTAAGAGCAGCCATTGGGCCTTATCTCTGGAGGTGGAGATGGGTGTTGGAGTGGACCTGAGCTCTCTGGAGCTGCAGAGCCTCTGGCTCACAGACAGACAGCACTGTGGCAGGGACCATGTTGGCAGGCCTGGGCCTGTACGCCTGGGGCCTGGGGGTCTAGCACCTCCATCGTCTCCAAGCCAAGCAGGAGCCATTCTTGGCTGGAGGCCCCGGGGGGACTGAGCTTCTTTCCCCAAGCAGGCACTTGGAGGAGGAGGCACTCCAAGGAGGAGGTCTGGACTGGACTGTTGTTGATGCCATTCAGGTTGCAATTGTTAACAGGAACATTTAGGATTCATTCTAGCTCAGGGGCAGAACTTCCTTGTGGGGTTTATCAGGAATTCACACCAACCTGAGTTCTGGGTAACTTTTGTTAACTGAAGGGGCTTCCTGGTCCCTGGCCTGTCTTGTGTCTCCTGTGTGGAGGAAATTCATGACTCATAGAGATAGGGCATCTGTAAGTAGAGGAACGAGCTTGATGGAACCCCCTTATCCTGTGCAGAACGGGAAAGAGTCCCCAGGCTGTCTATCTGGTATCCCCTGCTTGGTCTCTTCTGACCCTAATCACACACGTCCCTGGTTTGCTGTTCCTAGATTATCAGGTCTGAATCCAGCTTAGGAAACTATTTGTGGCTGAAGGGAAAAGAGGAGCTATGCTCTGAGCTCTCAGCCACTCTGCTCCCTAGTTTTGTCCTGACCTCCCTGGCTGCAGGGAAGCAGTGGCCATGCGACACTGAGCCATGGGCATCCCTGCTCCTCTTCTTCTAAGGACAGAAGAGTTGATAGATGGAATTTGTGATAGGAAAGATGGAAATGAGACTGCAAAGAGTTGTTCCAAGTGAGAGGAGAAGCCCCAGACATTGGAGAATGGGGAAGAGAGTTTTCTTGAAGGCTGGAAGTTGGGCAACTAGGATCGTGCTCCTGGCTCTGCCACCTCCTCTTCCTCTGTCCTGTGCCTTTTTTCCTGCATCATTGCACTAGTGCTTTCTGTGTAGACAAGGTGTCACAGGCTGGGGTAGGGACGACTTTCTCCCATCCCCTTCTCTGCCCCTAGGCTTTGGTGCCTGGCCACCACAGTTGTGTAGTGCCTACTGGGTGGGTAACAGATGGCTGCCAGGAGGGCTTCCTGGAGGAGTCTGTCCTCTGCTTGAAGAAGAGACAGACCTAGGAAAGAGAGAATGATTTTACATTTACTTCCTCTTCCTGCCCCAGAGTAGTAGGAGGTGGCTCAGGGTCTTGGGGTTTGATTTCCGCAAGGGGCGGATGTGATACTGTGCAGACTGAAAGCATTGACCCCCCCCCCCCCCCACACACACTGCACCTCTCTGTTCCCTCCCCACCCAAACCCTGACCCTCCATCCTCACTCCTAGTTAATTGCCAGGGCCTTCCCAAGCACTTCCAGTTGCTGTTGTAAGGGCAGTGATGGTCAGAACGGGCTTGTGCACTGGCTTCCTCAGTGGGGCCCACCCTGTCCCTGGTTCCCCTTCCGGACCCTTTACCCTCATCCACACCCTAGCTACACCTGCCACGCCCACATGCCAGCTTCACTTGGGGAGGGGGAGAGTATACTTTTCTTTGCGTGCTGGCTCAGAGCCAAGGCTGCAAGATGATCTTTGAGGGGGGTTCCCTTTCCTTGATAAGACTTCCATTTGGAGGTCACCAGAGGGTGGGAGCCCCCCCCCCCTTATTCCAGGCCCTATATTTGAGTCAGCAGAGCTTTGGCTAAGCTGCTTAAGGGATCTGGGTTTGTATAAGCTGCTTATGGGGAGAGGGGGGTGCTAGGGGGCAGTGAAGAGGACCAAGGAGGGGCCTCTCCATCTGTCTTGGCACCACCCACGTCAGGGAAAGTCCCCTCCAGACTAGCCTTGGCCTGACCCATCTACATATAGTACCATTAGCTGCTACATGGAGGGTGGAGGGGGCCCAGGGGGTCCTTTAAGAGGACTAGATCTCTCTCAAAGGCACATCTGTCTCCCATTCATACTGGGGGATGCATGTCAGCTTGAGACCCCTTTGGCCCAATGTTTCCCAGCTGACCTTAGCAAAATGAAGCTCCAGGGTGAGAATGAAAACGTGGGAGATGGCCTTGTCCTCTATACTTCACTGCTCTGTCCCTCCCTGATCCTCAGAGGCTACTAGCATGGAGCTGTGTGTCCCGTGTTCGATTCCCAAAGCAGATCTCTCACACTGTGAGGGCTTCTCCTGGCAAGGCCTCAGTTTCCTCCTTCTGGAGGGCATTGACCTCAGGGTCTGAGAAAGCAGCAGCTAGGCTGGGAGTCCCCCACAAGCTGTGATGTGGCAGGAGGGGTGCTGGACAGGCTCCTTCCTTGCTCAGTCGCCTGTCCCCCCTAGACTATTTGTGCTCGCCCGAGGAGAACATCTACAAGATCGACTTTGTCAGGTTCAAGATTCGAGACATGGACTCAGGCACTGTCCTCTTTGAAATCAAGAAGCCCCCAGCCTCAGGTGAATAGGCTGGTCTGCGTCAGGGACTGGGGGGCAAGCAAGGGGTATGGGAGGCTGCTCAGGGAACCTACAGGTCACAGGGGAGTCACAGTAAAGCTGGGGGTTGGGCTGCAGCATCCTTGCAAATCTTCAGGCAAGGAGGCCTCTGCTGGGGGCTGGGCGCACTTTTTCTTCCCAGCTGTTGCTGTACTCTTGGGAGTACAGCTCTGCCCCTTTGGTTCCTCAGCTTCTTCCTTTCCCTCCTGGGGGACACAGCCCCAGGAGTCCTAAGCTTCTGTGTTCCCTGTGGCCCTGGGAGTCACAGGGGAAATTAGTGACCTGCTGACCTAGGATGCCCAGGTGAAAGCCACTCAACCAGAAGTTCTGAACCTATTGCTGTGCCTTAAAAATCTTCTGGGGATATTTTACAAATATAGACATAGATGCCCTGGGAAGTGGGGGGGCACCTCTGGGTGGACAAGGGCCCCATCTTGAAGCTCACTGAACCTCAGCTGGTGTGCCTTGCAGAGCGGTTGCCCATCAACCGGCAGGACCTGGACCCCAATGCTGGGCGCTTTGTCCGCTACCAGTTCACGCCTGCCTTCCTCCGCCTACGGCAGGTGGGAGCCACGTGAGTCAGTGGGGTGAGGGCTGGGGGTGAGGGTGAGGGTGGGTGGGAGAGAGCGGGGAGCCCTTCCTGTGTTCTCCCCAAGCTGCACTGCTTGCTGCAGGCCAGCCTCAGCCCTGCCCCCTCGTCCCTCTCAGGGTGGAGTTCACTGTGGGGGACAAGCCAGTCAACAACTTCCGCATGATCGAGAGGCACTACTTCCGCAACCAGCTGCTCAAAAGCTTTGACTTCCACTTTGGCTTCTGCATCCCCAGCAGCAAGAATACCTGCGAGCACATCTATGACTTCCCCCAGCTCTCGGAGGAGCTGAGTGCGTGGCCAGGGCCCAGAGGACCACCCAGGGGGGCTGGGGTAGGGGTTGGGGAGGTGGAGTTTGTGGGCTGACCATACCCCATTTTCCTCTCCTCCTCAATCTCTGTGGCTTTGCTGAAAGCATGGTCACATGGTCCCATCATGGTGCCATGGTCCCATTTCCAAGTCACCTGTAGGAAAACAAGCTCACAGAGGCAAGGCGAGCTCACTGGGGTCATTCAGCTTATGCCCCCAAATCCTGAAGCCTCTTTATTGACCTGGCTTAGGCTCCTGACCTCCTGACCTTTGTCTTCCTCTGTCTCTCTTACAGTCAGCGAGATGATCCGTCACCCATATGAAACCCAGTCTGACAGCTTCTACTTTGTGGATGACCGGCTGGTGATGCACAACAAAGCTGACTATTCCTACAGCGGGACACCCTGACCCCCAAGTGGCCCCCTGACCCAGGAGGCTGTGGACCTGGACCCTGAGGCGTAGCCACCCCAATACCCACCTCTCAAACCCAGGTCTTCTGCCCAGGGAGTGCTTCAGGGCCCTGTACCCTGAGTCAGTTTTGGAAAGAAGGGCAACTTGTCCTCAGTGCAGGCCTCGTGGGACCTGGTACATGAGGTGGGTGGTAGGGAGGCTATCAGCCTCCATGTCCAGGAAGGCCTCCTGGGAGAGAAACAGCAGGGCATCCTGACAGCCTAGTTGGGCCCGCTTGGGCCCAAGTTTCAGAATAGTGCTCCTGTACCTAGGCTGTGAGTAGGTTGGAGCAGCGGTTCCTGTGCCCTGCCTGTCAAAGATCTTGGTGGGATCTGGTTACCAAGCTTCCCAAGGGATCCTGGCCCCTGGGCCCCAGCCACCACCATTAGGGGCTGAGACACTCACTGGCTGGGGCGTGGAAAGGCCAGTCCAGCTGGCAGTCTGTGTAGAGGCTGGACCAACTGTATATAGTTTTCAATAAACTTTCTCCTTTTCTCTTCTCTGGTTGTGGCCTCACTGGTTGTGGTGGAGCATGGACAGGTAATAAAGTGCTCATGATGGTGAAAGTCATCCCATTCCCAGTGCCCTCAGACCTGAGTGTTCTTGTCCTCTGACCCCTCGCATCTTGGCTCCACATTTCTGTGCTTAGAATCACATGTACTTGTTGAAAATTCCAGGACTCTTGATTGTGCTCATCTGAAACCTATACTTAAACCGGGAAGCAGTTGTAGGAACAGAGAAAAGAAGTACTACATGGTTCAAAATCAAGAAAGGAGTGCATCGGGGATGTGTCTTTTCTCCATACTTTTTCAGTCTATATGCACAACAGATTGGGAGGCTGGGCTCTATGAAGAAGAATGAGGCATAAGGATTGAAAGAAGACTCATCAACAACCTGCTCTATGAAGATGATTTAACCTTGCTTGCAAAAACAGGAGGACTTGAAATGTTTGATGCAGAATGTCAAGGACTGCGGTCTTCAATAAGGATTGCATCTCAGCATCAAGAAAACAAAGATTCTCACCACCCAGCCAATTGGCAGCATCATCATAGTTGGAGAACAGACTGCCATTAATAATTTGATCTTGCTTGGGTCCACAATCAACACTTTTGGCACCAGCAGTCAGGAAATCAAAAGATGAGTAGCTTTGGGAAAGTCTGCTGTCAGGTATTTCTCAAGAGTGCTAAAGAGCAATGATGTCAGTCTAGAGACTGAGGTGCCTGACTCACAACATGGTTTTATCAATACTTTCCATGTATGTGAGAGCTGAGTCAGTGACTAACAATGACAAAAGAAGAATTGATACCTTTGAGTTGTGGTGTTGCAGAAGAGTATTGAACATCATGGGCTGCCATGTCCTGGAGAGGGTAAAACCAGCTTGTTCCTTGAGGGCAAGGATTATGAATCTTCATCTCACATACTTTGGGGATATTGTCAGAGGGACCCCAGTCCTTGGAGAAGGAAATAATACTTGGAAGGGTGGAGGGTCAGCGCAGCAGAGGAAGACCCTGGATGAGATGGATTGACATGGATGGGACTGTGGCAAATAAGGGCAAATGTATGTGACTGGCTCAAAACAGGGCAGGATTCACAGCTATTGTTCGTAGGGTTGCTATGAGTCACGGTCATCTTGATGGCATGTAATAACAACATATGTGTTAAAAGTAAAATAGAGGGTCTGAGAGGGGAGCGTTTGGCCACGAGTCATAGCCAAACTTGGCAGAGCAGAGGTTGAAACAACTTCTAAGATGAGAGGGAATTGTTAACGGTGGAGTGAAGGGAGAGGTAGGGAGGTAGCCATGTCTTCCACCCACCTTCCCTGACCTCCAGAGGCTACCATGACCATTTAGGGCTGTGCTTTTAGTCATTGGCAAGAAGTTGACCAAGGCTTTAGCTGAGTCGTGGAGTTGTCTGTGGTTCTCAGCAGCCTTAGGGAGTCCCGTGACTTGATCAGGCCTGCCTGTAGCTCTGTCACTGTCTCTCTGTCCTAACTCCAGATCCAGAGGAGAGGCACTTAAGAATTTTAGGAGGTTGGTGATGAGCCCACCTTTCTAGATATGCCCAGTGTTAGCCCATCCTTGATTGGGAAGTCAGAGTTCAAAACACTGGAAATGCTGGGCTTCAGCTCAGTTCCAGAGCTGAGCTGCACTCTGAAATATGTGAGACACTGGCAACAAATAGCTGTCACTAGGATGTGACAGTCTAGACAAGGGAAAGAGAGTCGTGTGGGTGGAGAATCCTGGGAGGCTTCTTGGAGGAGGCAACATTGTAGCTGGGGCTTGAAAAATCTGACAAGACAAGGAGTGTGAAAACACTAGCTGATGAACTGATGGAATCTGGCCTCCACTAAACAGAGGGAAGAATCCCCTTCAAGGATACCAGCAGCACAAAGCTGATTGCTATGAAGTCAGATGTGTTTCTGGTGTGATACATCGTCTATCAATTCTAGACCAATTCTCCCTCCCACAACTCTCATTACTCAACTACCAGGTTCATTAACTCAGTGCAATGACCACAGAGAATTTACAATCAATACTTAGGATTGATTAGTGAAGTGACAGGTTACAATTCAGGGTGAAAAATGGTACAATTGGAGGCAGGGGAGGGAGAAAAATGTGCAACAGTGAATGAATGAATGGAATCCAACACTTCTGTACACTTGTTAAAACCACAATAAAAAAAATTGAGAAAAAAAATCTAAACACACCCCCCCCCCACAAAACCGGTACAATTCTTCAGTTAAAACAGCCTCTTCTTAGGCAGACCTCTCTTTGACCCACAGTCGAGGCTTAGGCTTCCGCCCTGTGGTCAGGCAAGTACTATAAAACTCTCAGTTCTAAAACTGGATGAAATATGTTTACAGCATTGAAGTCTACTGGGGAGAGAATAGTCTAAAAGTATTATATTTTAGGGCATTATTTTTATCGTAGGAGTATGCAATGAGGGTTGCAGAGTGGATTATATTTGGGGGTAGGGGGTGGGGTTTGGGGAGTTGCGGGGGGATTGTGTACCAATGAGGGAGTTTTTCTTTTGCTTTTCAAGGAGAGGAGCAAACGGGGGGTGGGGTTTGTGCGGGGAGAAGGGTGCAACAATGAATGAATGGAATCCCAAAATCTCTATAGATGTTCATTGAAATGAAAAATAAACAACCTAAATTAAAACAAAAACAAAAACAAAAAAAACCCCCAAAACTCTCAGTTCTACCAGTTGTGTGTATGTGTACATCTTCACCAATAAGTTTAAACTGGCTCCATGGAACTGCAGACTTAGCTGTGTCACCAGCAGGGCATGCTGCACCCTCCTTCCTTCCTGGTGATAATGAAATTCCCCTTTTCTGCTTCTAAGTCTGCTCAGTTGAAGTGTGGCAGAATGGCAGGACCAACCAATCCCCATGCTTGTGGTCTACACATCTTACTTGCTTGTTCCCACCCAAACGGTGCTATTTATCTTCTTTACATTATTAGCAAGCTATTCAATACCCTCGGTGGGCTGCAAACACCTAGCATTTTCCCAGAAAGATGGACAGGCAACCCCAGTGTGATGTACTGCTTCTGAAAACGCACTGGAAGGTCAGAGATCTGTTGGTTCTCATTGACCAATACACAACAACAACAACAACCACCACCACCCAGCCTTCACTAATTTCACATGCAAGATCTTGCTAAAGATTGTGCAAAGACGACTAGAGCAGTATAATACCAGAGAACTTGCAGAAATTCAAGTTGGATTTAGAAGAGGACATGACATCAGATGAGATATCATTGCTGATGTTAAATGGATTTTGGTTGAAAGTAGAAAATACCAGAAAGATGTCTATTTGTGTTTTATTGACTAGGCAAAAGTAGTTGAACATGTGGATCATAACAAATTATTGAGAAGAATGGAAATCCCAGAACACTCACTTGTGTCCATGTGAAACCTATACCCAGACTGAGAATCTGTTCTCCAAACAGGACAAGGGAACACTGCATGGTTTAAAAGAAAAGGTGTGCATCAAGGTTGTATCCTTTCTCCATACCTATTTAATCTGTATGCTGAGCAAATGACTTGACAAACTAGACTTTATGAAGAAGAATGTGGCATCAGGATTGGAGAACGACTCATCAAAGACCTGTTTTATGCAGATGACACAACCTTGTTTACCAAAAGTGAAGAGGACTTGAAATGCTTGCTGCAGAAGATCAAAGACTACAGCCTTCAATATGCATTACATCTTAACATCAAGAAAATAAACATCTTCACCACTGGGCCAATAGACAACATCATGATAGATGGGGAGATTGTAGTTGTTGATTTAATTGGACCCACAAAAAAGAAATCAAAAGATGTGTTGCATTGTGAAAACATGCTGTCAAGGACTTTTGCAAAGTGTTAAGGAACAATATCAGTTTAAAGACTAAGGTGCACTTGATTCAAGCCATGGTCTTTTCAATTACTCACTAGCAACTGAAAGTTGGACAATGAATAAGGAGACTGAAAAGCCATGCTTATTAATTGTGGTGTTGGAGAAGAGCACTGAACATCCCATGGCTTGCCAAAAGAACAAACAAATACATCTTGGAGTAAATGCAACCAGGATGCTTCTTAGAGGCAAGGATGGTGAAACTTAGTGTCACGTACATTAAGAATCTTGTTAGGAGGGGCCAGTTCTTGATAAAAGACACTGTGCCTGGAAAGGTGGACAGTAGGAGAAAGAGAGGCAGACCCTCAACAGGATGGAGCAACACAGTGACCGTGACAATGGTCTTGAGTATATCAGGGATGATTGGATGGCACAGGATCAGGTCCATTGTTCATAGGCTGCTATGTACTGTAGTCGACTCAAGGGCATCTAACAACAACCCAGCCTTGTGTAAGGAGCTCTGGTCTAGGGGCAGTTAAGCAGTTAATCCAAAGGCAGCTCCACAGAGCAAAATGGATAGTCTCCCCCTGTGAGGTCTGTAGCTTTCTGAAAACTC